AAGGAATTCTTATTGTGAGCATTAAGCATCCCAGAAGATGCCGGTTATCTTTCAGCTCCTGCAAGACGAGGAGCGGTCACATTGGTGCAATCCCATCCACCTTGTATCGGGGCGCTAACGTGGTCTTGATGCGGAGTGAGATTCATCTAGCCGTAATCAATTGCAAACCATCAGACCGTTGGATCTGGCTGTGACCTGGTTTGCCCGACTCGAATATGGCACCATCGTGTGCTCGACCAGAGCCTTATAGATTTCCTTCTCAATCACGACCTATCTTGATCCACGGAATTGATGACAGGAGTACCACATCGCGTCAGCGATCAGGTTTCTCAACAGTGCAACTATATGGACATCGGATACATCGAACTCATTCATCACTAGACCCGAAAAACCGGATGAAGAAGTGAAGAAGTGAAGAAGTGAAGAAGTGAAGAAGTGAAGAAGTGAAGAAGAAGAAGAAGAAGAAGAAGAAGAAGAAGAAGAAGAAGAAGAAGAAGAAGAAGAAGAAGAAGAAGAAGAAGAAGAAGAAGAAGAAGAAGAAGAAGAAGTGATCAAACTTGGCAAACCAGTGACTGTTGGGGCATTATCGTCGTTGGCTGGGACCATCATATTACCGACGTCGACAAACTACATGCAGACACATCTAATCGGGCATTTCAAATCATGTCGGCAGTTGGAATTTCCTAGGATCTCAACCGCCCTTTTGTAACAATGATAAGGTGCATGAGGACACTTGCGATTGTTGTGCAGCCCCAATTACACATACCGAAGACTAACATGAAGACTCTTCATCGGCCGCGTACTACTGAACAATTTATACTAGGACCATCTTCTAGGTACACAATCGTAAGCAACCCTGTGCAAAGTGCCACTTTGAGGACTCTTCCCCATGGCTATGATCGTTAGACATACATCTATTACGCCCCAAAGTGACACAAATGACTATCACAATGCCTTCGATCCATCTCATCTGCTACGGGCCCGCAGTCTTGATTTCGCAACTACTCGAGCAACTCACAGTCCGCTGCGTCTACCTTTGAAAAGCCTGGGCAAGAAGGCCCCTCGGGCGATGCCTCGGTACAATCTACACAGAAGCTGCCTCCGCATGTTCATCACTATAAGGTGACTCATCCTCAACCCTCAAATCTGCGCCAGTTTCTTTGTCATCTAACGCGGGCTCGAACAGCATCCCTAGGAAGTAGTCTGTTGCTAGATCTCCCTTCAGTACAAAGACAAATGCTTCTCGACTTTAAGTACTTACAGATGTGTTTGGTTGTAACAGATGGGGTCCACTCGCGACCTTGACCATCAGGAACCCAAGAGACGTCGGAAGATGATGGTGAAGCCGGGGTAGGTGGTGGCGGTGAAGGCGGCGGAGACGGCTCCGGAGTCTTAACATATGGAATACCTACCAAAAGATCACAGCTTGCGTCCGTCGAATCTCTCAGCCGCGCCCGCTGGAGCCGTACTCCCAGCGGAATAACTAGACATACGCGTTCTAGGTGGTCCAAAAAGTACCGCTCGAGCACCGAACTGCCAGTCTCGCTTGTGACGCGGTCCCAGTTTGTCGCAGCAACAACGGCGTGTCGAAATCGACGAGACCTAAAGACGTTGAGAAGGCGTCCAGGTTACGAACTGCGTAGTTAGCATTGTTTAGATCCATGGCACGCTGGAGCTAGATGACGCCGTCCATTTGTCTGTCCATGGGTTTAAGCCGGCTCTTGATGTAGATGATTGTCTCTGTGTCTGGGATATGTCGCTTGTCGAGGGAGAGGCCGGGCGTGTCGATGAGAGGGATCTGGAGGTTCTCTTCATCGAGATTGGCTGTGTGTATGCTGATGTCGTCGTCTTGGGCGTCTACATAGTCGCCTGCATTTTCGAAAAGGGAACGAATGTAGGATGTCTTACCACAGCCTTTGGGGACGATAACTGCTAATATGAGTGTTTTTATTTTGCTGTTTTTGTCAGACTTTTTCTGTTTGCGAGTGCCTACTAGATGCGAATAAGGAAGGGTTGCCAAAGTCAGAAGCGACTTTGGGGCGTTAATTATACGACGAAGCATTCCTAGCTGTGTCTCTCTTGTCAGTTGTCAACAAAGTCAAATGCAATAAGTTGTTTTCTTCACAAGGGGTCTGAGTGGCGGACGACCTCAAGGCCAGACTGAACGGGTAGACCTGAGGAAGCCAGCAGTCTCTCTTGGGCCCGGAACAGATTCTATGATAGATGGTTGTGTTATTTCCTGTTGATAGTTGAATTTAGACAAGAAGGAGTAGACAAAGACACACTGCGTTTTTGAAGCTGTTTTGTCTCGAATACAAAGATGGTAACCTGAAGCAGTCGTTTCTGTCGACTTTGAACTTTACAACCTCCGACATTGTTTCCGTCGAAAGGAATATGATATACACTTTTGACTCTACTGGGAAAGCTTGAGGAGCCAAACAACTAGGCCTCGAGCTTGCTTGATACCCGAGCGGCAGAGACGGAAAAAGCCGATAATTTCGAGCGCCCGTAGGCCTGCAGACTAGTTAAATTGCATTCTGAGCTACACGGGCAAGACGGACATCTGAGATGTTCTCAATTGTCTGGCCGGTTGGCCCAATGGCAAGGCGTCTGACTACGATACACCGTGGAATCAGGAGATTGTGGGTTCGACCCCCATGCTGGTCAAAATCTTTTGCTTTTCCAAGCAAATCTACATTTTTGGCCTCTCTTTTCAACGGGCAATCGGTTCGGAGGTTCACTTTTCTCAAATCTCTTTGATTTGGGAGTTGGTGTGGGCTTAACCAGTGGTCTTGTGACTGTGGAAAGGGGAGCTCTTTTGGCCGACAACTCAACACCACTAAACTCTGACAATGGCGTTGTATAGTCGTTGCGGCCGCTGAAAAGACATGTTAGTGACTTCTGTATGCCCCCTCTATGCATCAAATCTACTTAGAGAGCACTTGCCAACTCATTCAATTCTCTTAGTTCTAAACTCATGATTAAAGTAGCGTATCGACCGTTCCATTTCCGAAGATAAGGAAGGTTTAGCTACACTACGTTGATTGCCGGAACGAGCTTGACTCGCTTGAGCATAGCTAGTTAGTGGCCGTTACTAGCCCTGCGCGGCAGACTTTCTGCTAACCCGGACTCAACTCTATCAGGGCCCCAGCTCGAACTTTCTTCTTTCTGTGTCTTCTAAGACACACTTGGAGGCCGACCAGCTCAGCCTTTCTGGATAACTCGGCAAGTCGACCTTCCCAAGAGGGTGTACGCCGAGCCCGCAACTATTGCACCAGACAGGGGGTGGGGGGGTTGGTTTCGTTGAGGAACTTGTGAGATGGGCTGCTGTGCCGCAGTGACGTACGACGTTGGCAGCTTGGTATTAAAGCGCCGCCCGGAGCCTTGAGGATAGTGATGCGGAAGCAATAAGCAGAGAGAGCACGGCTGCATGTATTACGAACAGTCCCTTCAAGTGGAATTTGGGAACAGAATCAGAGGAATGTTGTGTGAAGGGTTTGTGTCTCAGTGAAGAAACTCAAGGTTGGGGACTCAGCCCTGCCGATCGTCAGCAGTAGGCTGGCTGTAGCGATTGAAGATCACCTCAGGATTACTCCAAAGACTAGCCTAGACTCTATGTAGAGTCTAGAGAAGAAGCAAGTCTGAGTTGGATTGAATGATGGACGTTGTGGTAAAAGAAGATGGACGTGTCTTGAGCTTCCGCCCGGCTGCCCCATCCCCGCCCCGCCATCGTCCTTTTCCTATCAGCCCGAACCAATTGCAGACCTCAATGGGAGCGAGTCCGCCCACCTTGATCCTTCGCCCACCCACGGACTGCTGCAGTGATGGCTTCCATGTAAAAGTGAAGTGTGTGTAGGTACGAGAGAGTTGGGTCAAATGGGGTGCAGATCAGCAAGGTGCAGGTGCTGACGCCGCTGACGGGACAGGGGAGGCGCCCAGCAGGAAGTCGCAGGGGTCGCATGCCACGTCGCGTGCCGACTTTCCCAGAGTCGTCGAGCAAATTGCACCAAATTGCGGCGGATTACACCGAATCTGCACCAAAAATACTCGACTTGGCGACGCAAACAGCCCACCTCGGCTCCTAAGCCTTGAAGTGAGTCTGCCTACCCTACCAGTACCTAGGTAAGGACTTGGGTTGCTAAAGTCCGGTCATTTGGTGGTCAGTGAGGTGGTGGTGTCTTTTCGGATTTCTCTCCTCTTGGCGAAATCTGCACGGCATCCTCCATTCATCCTCCCTCCTCCCCTCGTTCCCGCCCAGACGTCTTGGTATTTTCTTTCCCTCATGTCCTGTCAGCCTGTTCCTTTTCAGTTGGCTTCCTCTATTGTTTGTTTCTTCCTATTCTTTTTTCCCTTCCTCTTCCCCTCTACGGATACTGAGAAGACGAGACTTTGGAGGCAATACATCTCCGACGACCCTAATTCTCCTAAAGATCCACGCATGCGCAGCCACCCCTGCTGGACGACGACGACGACTGCCCCCTTTCCGTCAATGCGATAAGATCGACCTCGACAAAAAAGATAGCGACATCCTATTTCCGTACACGCGGCCCCCTCCCAAGAATCCCATACTCTTGAACTTTCCCACTCCGGGGGAAAACCTTCGACACTGTCAAACCATCCGCATACGTCAAAAAACGATCCCGTCCCGTCCCATCTCCAATTCGTTCATTCCGGCGGCGCCACAAACCCGCACGCGTAAACCCAATCTCGAAACGAAAGCTTGCGGCGGTTTAAGCTTGGGTCGATAACTACGGCACGGGTAGGGAAAGGCGTAACCGCCACCATTCCGGATTACAAAACCCACGAGGCCCTCATCCTCAAAGGTTCAGGGTAGCCCGCTTCGATACCCTTTCTCCGAAAGACGACAAGAATCCCATATAAGTGGTGGTTCTCCCCTGTCTTGGGTTCAGCGATCAACCCCAGGCTGGTTCGTCTCGTCTAAACACTTTGCGTAGCGGGAACCTTGACGGCGAAAAAGGGGAAGACCTACATACACACATACACACATACACACACACACCACAAAATCCACAGAAGAACGAAGGTCACCATGTCGTTCCCGGCTCCAACCCGCCCGCGGCGTGCCGTAGTCTGCGTCGCCGCCTTCTTCATCCTCACCACAATCTTCCTCGCGGCAGCCCGCCTCGCCTCCCTAGACCTCACATCAGCCATCCGCCGCCGTCCCGCCCAGACCGTAGCCGAGCCTTCGCCCGCCGATGCGCCCATGTCCTACGGCGAGACCGCCCGCCCAGGCTTCACCGACCTCTCAGTTCACATCGCCACCCTCCCAGAGCGTCACCTCCCCTCGCGCGAGAACCCCAGCCGCAGGCTCGTCGTCGTTGGCGATGTCCACGGCATGCGCGTCTCCCTCGACAGGCTACTCGAGGAGCTGCACTTTGATACGTCCCGCGGCGACCACCTCGTTTTCGCTGGCGACATGATCAACAAGGGGCCCGACTCCCGCGGCGTCCTCGACCTGGCCATGCGCCTCGGCGCCTCCGCCGTGCGCGGAAACCACGAAGACCGCGTGCTGCTCGCACACCAGAACATGAAGACCACCTACGTTACCGACTCGGACGCCCACGGCAACCCCGTCACCAAGAGAGAGGAAGGGGAGGGACAATCCAAGGCTGAGGAGAATAAGGAGGACAAGAAGATAGAAGAACTCACCACCGACAGCGCCTCACCCGAAGACCAAGACCAAGACGAGGACGTCGACTCCGAAGACGAAGAAGCATCCCTCGAAGAAACCGAACAAGACGACCTCGAACCGTCAATCTTCCCCCACGGCGACTCCAAAGAACGCGCCACCGCCCGCTCCCTCACCCGCAAACAACTAAAATGGCTCTCCCACCTTCCCGTCATCCTCGACGTCGGCACCGTCGAATCCATCGGCGGCAACCTCGTCGTCGTCCACGCAGGCCTCGTCCCAGGCCTCTCCCTCAAACACCAAGACCCCTGGGCCGTCATGAACATGCGCGGCCTCGTCTACCCGCGCGAAGAGCTCCGCCGCCAAGAAGCCCACCGCGCCCTCGAAGACTACCGTCGAACCCACACCGCCGCTCCCGGCGTCACGGAGACCATGATCCAGCGCGAGCACGAGCGCCGCAGAAAACCCCACGATCGCAAGATCGCCATCCCCACCGACCGCCGCGACGGCTCGAGCAGCTGGCCCAAAGCGTGGAACGCGCACCAAAAGGCGCTTCCCGAAAAAGAACCCCGCACCGCGGTCGCCTACGGCCACGATTCGAAGCGCGGCTTGCAGATTGACAAGTTTACGTTTGGTCTCGACTCGGGCTGCGTCAATGGCGGGGAACTGACCGCGCTCGTCATCGAGGCTTCTGTCGACGGCGGCGTTACGCATTCCATCAAGAGCACCAAGTGCAACAAGGACGAGGGGCACAAGGAGAAGAAGAGGAACAAGAAGCACAAGAAGAGCAAGAAGGGCAAGAAGAGCAGCGAGGAGGTGGACGAGGCCAAGTCATAGAGAGAATACGTCTTCCTGGTGCAGGGGAATAGGGAGGAAGAAACTCATCAAAGCATATCAAACGGCACGTCCAAGACGGACACCCAGAAACGAAGGAGAGAGGCAACTGCATGTGTGTGGGCTGGCTGCCCAACACTTCCCCATCTCAAGGGGGGGGAACGACGCAAATGGATATACCTAGAAGTCATCGCCAACGTCTACACCACCGCCTGGAGGCGTTTCACTGTACAAAACAGGTTGCATCCAACACCAGGTTGGAACGTAACCAGCAGTTATTACCATAATGAAGGAAGCATCATCATCATGTTACTAGGCGTTTAGTCATTAGAGCAATACAATGTTCACATTGTGAAAACTTCAAAAAGACTGGGAGACCAATTTTCTCGGATTTTTTGCTACCAAGCAGTCTATCTTTGTGATTTTATGCCTCCCTCCGAAAAAAAAATAAGGTTGACTTCCACACAACTCGGCGCCCCTTCCATCACTTGACGCGCCGTTTGCTAGGGGTTTGCTATGTGTGTGATTGGGGGATTTGTTTGTTTTCCTTCTCATTAAGTCATTCTCACATCATGATATATATCCTCCTCCTAGCGGGAAAGTTGTCTCACCCGCAGGCGTGGTTTTTTGTTTTTTGGGTTACATCGCTTCCGCATCAGGACAGACAATTTATGCCTGGACCTTCTGCTTGATGATATCCTTGAGGGTGACAGCATCAGCGGCGAACTTGGAGATACCCTCACGGAGCTTCTCGACAGCCATCTGCTCCTCGTTGAAGTCGAAACGGAAGAGGGGCTCGTTGCTGATGTAGGACTTCTTCTCAAGGTCGAGGCTGGAGGCCGCGGCGGCATCGAGCTTCTTGGGGACGGAAGCGTCGGAGTTGAGGAGCTCCTCAAGCAGGTTGGGCTGGTGAGCGTGTTAGTTACTAGTTCTTTGCAGAGCACGTGGGAAGCAAAACTGGGTGGCAAACATACGGAGATGGTGAGGTAGTCGCAGCCGGCAAGCTCGGTGATCTCGCCAATGTTGCGGAAGGAGGCACCCATGACAATGGTCTTGTAGCCGAACTTCTTGTAGTAGTTGAAGATGGTGCCGACGGACTTGACACCGGGGTCCTCCTCCTTGGTGTACTCCTTCTTGTGAGCAGCCTTGTACCAGTCGAGGATACGGCCGACGAAGGGGGAGATGAGGTAGGCACCGGCCTCAGCGGCGGCGATGGCCTGGGTGATGGAGAACATCAGGGTCAGGTTGGTGTTGATGCCGTGGTCGCGCTGAAGGATCTCGGCGGCCTTGATACCCTCCCAGGTGGAGGCGATCTTGATCAGGACGCGGTCCTTGGAGATGCCCTGAGCCTTGTACAGCTGGAGTGGTTGTTAGCAAAGCTGCTCAAATCTGTTCAAAATCGGGAAAGTAAACATACGTCAATGATGTGAAGAGCCTTGTCGACGGAGGCCTTGGTGTCGAAGGAGAGGCTGGCGTCAACCTCGGTGGAGACCTTGCCGGGGACGACCTTGAGGATCTCCTTGCCGAACTCGACGAGGAGAGCATCAAGGGCGTTGTCGACCTGCTCGTCGACGGAGCCACCCTGCTTCTTGGCGAAGGCAACGGACTCGTCAATCAGCTTGGCGTACTCGGCCTTCTTGGAGGCAGCGAGGATGAGGGAAGGGTTGGTGGTGGCATCCTGGGGCTTGTACTTGGCAATGGCTGTAAAGTCGTAAAGTCAGCAAACGTCCTTTGGGGATTGGTATCATGCCACGACCCATTGACCGTGTTGGCCGTGATGGATTGAGGCTGTGGTGGCAAAGTGGTGATCAGGAAGTTTTTGAGAGATTTTGGGGGAATGGCGGGGAGGAAGAAGGCGGGGTGGACTGACAGGCAAAGTCGCCAGAGTCGCTGACGACGACGGTGCCGGTGGCCTTGAGCTGGTCGAGAGAGGTAGACATGGTGATGTTGGATGAAGGAATTGTGGCGGTTATTGGTGGGAGATTGACTTGAAGAGGAAGAGAAGAGAGAGGAGGGAGAAAAGGAAGAATGGGAAGAGAGGACGTGAGGTCGTAGAAGTAGTAGATCTTTGTTGAGGAACAAGCGTACCGTACCGTACCGTACCTCCCCCGGGTGACGGGGCGAGGGGTAATTTGTCCCTCATCCTCACACCTCGCATCTCACACGCCCGGACGACGGACGGTAGCCGCCCCCCCTAGTGTGGGTCCAAAAGTGTCACGTATCTGAGAGTACAGAGTACATCGCACCTTTGGACCTTGGTACATGACATGAGCGAAAACCGCCGCGCCTTCTCCGAAGATGGGAGAAGCTGACGGTAGGTATCTATTCTGAGATGGGTACATGGCTGTGGTGATGCTGCAGAATCCGTATCCATGAATATGGGCCCTGGCCGTTTAAAAACATGGACCCAATGTTCCTTTTTGCCATTTCAACTAACTAGGTTATTCAATGCAGTTTTCTTCTTCTTCTTCTTCTTCTAGAATGTCGATCAAATTCGTCTTCGACTTCTTAGAGACTGCTTGTACAGGCAGGTTGTTGGTTCATCTCTCGGCCCCTACTCCGTACCCCGTACCGTTTTGGATGCTGTCTGCTTCGAGTGCTTAGACTTACTTACATCAGCCATCGACCGTGACCGTCATGTCTTCTTTTTTTTCTCTTCCGCCCGCGTCCCACCTCACCGTTTGGCGGGGTATTATTACGTCGTGGTGACCCACACCTCGAGGACGGCCGTGAGTAAGGCTGCTGCAGACTTGCAGCCAGCCAGTGCCAGTGCAGGTGCTGGTGCAGTGCTGTGCTCTGTGCTGGTGCTGCAGTTGCTGCTTCAGCTGCAGCGATAGAGGTATCCGTAAGGTAAGGAGCCCCCATCTACATCCGCCCCTCCACGACCCAGAATCATCGTCATACCCCCAGTCTTTTGCGTGGGAACTTGATGCCAAATTATCAAAATAGGTGGTGATGCTGCCTCGCTGTCGGTGGCTCTTTGCTCTACTCATGTCACTTTTGCTGGATACGTTTTGCAATCGCATCGGCGGTTCCGCTTTTTGGCTGTCGCAAGTCCCTGTCGGATATCCTCAATGCTAGCCAAGGCTGGTTTCTAAAAAATCGCTCTCACGCTTCTGAATACCCGCTTGCTGCGAGGCTGCCGGCTCTACTCATGTACGGATACCTAGACTATTCGTGCACAGGCCCAGAGAGAGAGGGAACCGACGTAATGATACCCATAGAAAACGGAGAAAAATCGCGAATCGCGATCCGTGGATGGGAATTTCGAGTCGCTCAGGACAACCAACCCCATTTCACCAAACAATAACCATCCACCCATCGATCGTTCCTGATAGACAAAACCAAGGAAGACGTCGGCTGAGGCGTCAAAAAGGCAAATAAAGCAGCTTGCCCGGCAGCCCGGGCTATCACGAGATGGGGCAAAACAGAAAGAACCTGGATAATGAGAGATATGCTCTTTTGTAGGCCCGACTCGAGATTCGAGGTACCGTATATGTATCATCTCTTCGGTGTTAGGCGATGTTGTTACAACACTGGACGCCCGCCGTTCGCCATCGCCGTTCGCCATCGCCGTTCCCCTCCCGCCTTCGCCGCAGGTGGCCCCCCGTCCGTTCCGGCGACCTTCTAATCAGCACCCAGCCTCTCAGCAGGAAAGAATGCTACCTCATTACAGGCATCTGGCTAGCTACCTTAGCCTGAGACGTCCGTTGCTGTCGTTTCTTCGTCGTCGGAAATATGAGCCATCTCCTTCGGCCCAAATAACCCACCATCGCCGCAACCGTTGCCCCCATCTATCCGTACTAGACATTGGTTACCGTAGGTGAAGAGGCATACCGCCCGAAATCGTTTCAAAAGTCTCTAGTACGCTACTTGGGCCTGCATTCGTCTCAACCAAAGAAGTGACCCCAAGATTGGGCAAACCCCAAGTTAATTTGGCATTGTGACTCAGCCCATCCTCCCAACTACGAGAGTCCATCGTGCTTCTCGCCTTCAACCACGTGCTCACCATCGCTCTTCATTGGTTCCAAATACCTAATCCCATGTCAGAGACGTCGTAACAAGGTCCCGTACCGTATTGGCCAGGTCCTCGTCCCCCTTGGACTTTATCCGTTAGATCCGCCCGCCGCCTCAATTGCCCCTCGGTTGTCAAGGCGGGTTTATCTCGCAGACTTACTCTCACCGCGCGCACCCCCATGCCAGGACCTCTCAGAGAGAGACCACGGGTACAGTAAAAATTTCCAACAGAGGCAAAGCCCGTTATCGTGGGATTGGAACCATTGGATTGGGAATGCTCATTTTTACCGCCATTTAGTTCCCTTCATTTCCGCGCCAATGCCCGACGAGCTTCAGGCCACCACCAGCCAGTAGCCAGTGACCAGCACCCGGACTCTGCCCCCGAAGTCGCCCTCTGAACCCATCCATACCTAGAATGACCCCCACCTCGAATCAGGAAACTCCGGTTCCCGGTATTCTCTGACCTTCCACCGCCTACCAAACGGTTCGTTAATGCTTCGCCCTCGCCATTTCGCGGAGAGCGGCCAGCGCATCCAGATTCCGGGGCTTCTAAGCGCACTGTTGGCGGGCATAGTAACAATGGGAAGGGCCACTTCCCGCTCGGGACTCGGGACTGTAGGCCCAATTCCCAAGGCCGTACGTAGGTTCCAAGTCTGGTAACACTCCTCCTCACGATTCTCTCACCAAGATACGGAGTACTTATCCGCTTCTTCTTCAACCTGGTGCTGGCATTCTCTTCCAAGCCAAGTATACCAATCATCAAGAACGCCCGCTTCCGAAAAATGATGTAGCATTTCATTGCGGTCAACAATTGAACCTGTTGTACCGGCCAAAGCGGTATTCAACAGTCCTCGACGGTATACCCAGACTTTTAACCCGTCCCGTCATCTACCTACCCTGTCGAAGCACATCCCTCACCTGGGACTCTTTGAGCCGACCGGCCGACGATCCCGACCCAAACCCACCGCGGCACCGGGAAATTGGAACCCCCCTCCATTACGTAATTCCGAGGGCAGCTGCTACGAACATCGCAACATTTCAACTCAACGTCTCTGGAACATTATTATAATACATCACCTCTTGTTTCCATGATTGCGAGAGAGGGACAAGACAGTTTGACAAGGCTCCCATACAGCCTATTGATTCATGCAAGGCTATTGTGAATTATGTAGTGACTTTTGTGTTTTCCTAAAACCGCCGCCACCCTCCAAAGACTTTTCCTCCCAATGCCCATCCCACACCCGATGCATTTAGTCCTCAGTGATATCACCATACTCCCACATGCCGAGGCGCTCCTCCTTAGCCTTGGCCTCAACCTCCTTCAGGTGCTTCAGGTACGCAGCGTGTTGGCCGCTGCGCTCCCACGCCTTGAGCTTCTTGGGCACCATGGCCTGACCGTTGGCAACGACCTCCTTGTTGATCGAGTCGTTCGGGCCCGGCTTCTTGTCGCTTGCGTTATAGTCAAAGAGGGTGATGTAGCTGACGCCCTCCTTGGTGTCGACAAAGTCGAAGCTGGCAACTAGCTCCTTGCCCTCAGTCAACTCGGCAATGAAGCCGATGGATTCCGAAAAGTACTCCGGCGCAGTAGGCAGTTGCAGGAACGAGAGCGAAGCGTCGATTGCCTGGGCCTTGAGCTTCTGGGTGGTGAACTGAGGCTGGTCCAGAGGCCTCAACTTAGACCAGGGCTGCTTCTCTGTGTTACCGTAGTCAATGTAGACGACTTCGGCAACCTTGGCTGCGCGGTCGTTGGAGCGAATGCGGCCTCTGTACCATTCTCCATCGGCAGAGAACTTGGCGGCGACAAAGTCACCGGCCTTGGGCGCATCGCCGATAGGCTTGCTGTTTGACGAGTTCAGGTGGAACTTCTTGAAGTCGTTCATCAGGGTCGTCAACGCAGCAGTGCCCTTGCCGATTTCCTGGATCTTGATCTTTCCGTTGCCATCAATGTTGGTAATAACAACATCGCGGTAGTCCTTGGGCTTGTTCTCGTACGCCTCGGGGGTATCGTTGGTAGCCTCGACGGCCTCAACCTCCTCTTCTTCCTCCTGAGACGGGTCCCAGCTGTGCCACAATCCCTTGCGGCCCTCCTTGGCCTTCTTCTCGGCAGCAAGCAGCTCGGTAGCGTTGCCAGACTTCTCGGCGGAGTAGCGGTGGACAGATGCTAGACCCTCCTCGACAAGCAACTTTGCGATGTTCTCGCGGTTGATATACAGGTCACCTATGAAACCTCCAACCTTGTCAATGTCGTAAATGTCGACCTCAACATCGCGCTGGTTGCAACGACGGCTGGCAAGGTCAATCGCCTCCTGACCAAACTCCTCGCCGTTGTCGCCTCCACGGCCCGGGGCACGAGGAGCACGAATACCGCCCAATACCAGCGTCAGCTTAACGCCCTCGCGGGGGATCAGGATGGTGAAGCGAGAGCCAGACTTGACGAAATCAACGATAGCGGGCACCTTCTTTTGCCTTGACAGGCTACCGAGCTGAATCTTTGCCTTTTGCAGAGACTCGGAAGCGTCTGCGTATTGCTTAATCTTGGGGGCCTTGCCAGACCAGATGCCCTTCTTCTCTTCCTTGGCCTTCTCCTGGGCAGCAAGGAGCTCGTCATAGTTGGGAGAGCGGTCAGTGTCGTCCTTGCGGTGACGGATGACAGACGCGTACCCAGCCTCAACCAGCTCGAGACCAACGTTCTTGCCCTTCTCCGTGACCGTGGCAACCTCGCGAGCCTCGTAGCCGTCGGTAGCAGGCTTAGAGCCATCGATGCTAATCTTGACATGTTTGCCGATAATCTTCTTGCGCAGGAATTCCTTGGCCTCCTCCTTGTAGGGAGCTTCTGACGCCTCGTTTGTGCGAGGGCCGCGGATACTGCTAAGGTTGACTCTCTGCTCCTTGTCACCAGCCTTATTGCGAACGACAATGGTGTCTGCGCCGATAATCTTTGCGACAATCATGTCGGAGGAGGCGCCATCAGCCTTGGCAACGTGGTGCTGGTGAAGGCGCAGCTTCTTGCCCTGGGCCGTCTTCTCAGCAGCACGGAGGCTGGCCATCTTCTCGCCGAGCATGGTAGAATGGAAGTCGTTGCATCTCGCGAAACCCTCGGTAAGGAGGAACTCGGCAATGTTCTTGTTGCCGTTGGGGTGGATGATGGCTGCCACCAATTGTCCTTGAGCGCTGGCGCCGACAATATCAACCTTTACGCGGCGCTGGAGCAGTCTCTCCTCGACGAAAGCCTTGGCCTCGTTTCCAAACTCTTCAGCAGCCTGGGTCTGGCCGGTAGACTGTATCGTTCGCTCGGTGGTAGGAGTACGGACTCCTGCCAGGAGTGTCATGACCTGCACGTGCTTCTTATCCGAAAGGAGAAGTCGCACGAGCAGACGGTCGCCGCTCAGAACCCGCTCGACAATGCCGTCAACGGTCTTTCCCTTCCACTCGTTCATGAACTGAGGGCCGCCGAGGTCATTCTGGACCTGGATGTTGCCGCCGGTACCAGACCAGAGACCCTTGCCGGCATTCTTGGCTTCGGTCTCGAGTTGGCGCAGGTTGTCGAGACGCTGAATAGTAGCCTCGTCGTCATCCTTGCGACCAGCCTCTTCTCTGACCTTGAGCCATCCAGCCTTGAGAGCTTCGTCGGGGAGAGAAGGACCATCCTTAGAGAGCAGAGCAGTGCCGAACTCACGACCGGAAGGTACAGTGTAAGCTACTGTGCATTGGATCTGCTTGCCTACGACGAGTTCTCTGAGGTATTCTCTTGACTGAAAAGCGAATGGTTCATCGCCTTCCTTGTTCAGGCGAGGGGCCGTGACGTATGCGAGGGAGAAGGTCTTTTCGGCTCTTGGGTTGTTGGGAGCGGTCAAGACGAGGGTGTCGCCGCTAAGCACGCTCTTAACCTTGGCGAAAAAGGGCTTCGACATGATGGGAGAATCAAGGAGTGACTGGATGCTATTCAGAAGATATACTATAGAGAACCATAGGTCATTAGCCCATTGCCCGTATCAAGCTGTTTGCGGTGACCGTTGGATGTCTCGTGCCTGCCTGCCGTCTCAGACATTCTGAAGCAACAAGCTCCAGGCATTGGAAGGCAACACGGTAACTGCAATTGACAGCTCCCATTGAAGGCACAAGAAAGCTTTCCAAGATGACTGTGACTGTAAGTGCACAAGTGCATCAAAGACAAAGCCATTGTGCTCAGGTGAGGTTGTCTAGGAAGTGCATGGATAGGTGCAGTTCCCCCCGGGTAGGAGCATCAGCTTGCCGCCCTCCCTGAAGAGGGAAGCTTGATACCCGGATTGGTAGAAACCATTGGAAAGGGAGAAAACAGTAAACGTACCGGTAGATGAGGAAGAGCTTGGTAAGGGAAACGGAGAGAGAGGATGTAGAGATGATTTTCGGGGGATAGAGAGAGGGAGAGATGTTGGGTTGGAAAGGAGAGTTAGCAAAGGCGATTGTTCGATCAAACGTTCGACAGTCGTACCGCCTTTTTGACAGCTTGCCTCAATTTCGCCCGGTCTCGAGCAAGCAAGTGTGGGGAAAGGAGTTCAGGGACCACAGTCCACACGGAGGCATGGGTAGCAGCTCGCCGGTGGCCAGTAACAGTGGCGGGTGCTCTTAAGCGAGAGCGGGGTTGCAGCTACCTTATGTAAGGTGTCGCACTTGCGGTTTTGGTTGCTAAGGACAGCTTCCCCCTTGAACAACAACAATCCGTCACTTGAGCAAGGAATGACTGGTTTTTGAGAAGCAAACTACCTTACCTTATCTGTCAATGGCAGTGTACATAATTCAGGTTTTTTTTCTTCTTTTTTTTTCTGGTTTTTGGTTCTTGTTGGCGTACAATTCCCCACCTCTCATATGCCTTATTCAGAGATTGCCAGATGAATGGCGGCGTGTCGCAGCTGTTACCAAAGAAAGGCACCATCATGCCAGTATTAGCAGCGTTCACGTCATTTCCTACCCCTCACAGTGCAAGGACCAGCCAGCCCCGCAACTCCCGCTGGCGTTTAGGTTCAGGTCTGATGCCATTCACCAAGCCAATTCAGAGAGACGTTTTACAGTGATTTTTTTTGTATTACTTTTGAGGATGCCGTACTAAAGTTGGAAGCCTGCGACTATCACCATTCAGCTGCCTTCAATACAGTCGGCCAGCTTTGTGGAATGAAGCAGATAGGGAGCTTGATAACCCCACCTCAGATGACAATCCGTCCCAAAACAGTAGCTATTTAGGTACGACAAGCTTAGTTGGAGATACCAATAACACCTGCATTGAATGATTAGTATGGCCCGTCTGGTAGAAAGCATTGGTGTGTACATACCGCAGGCGGGACGGGGACCGGCGTTGCCAGTCTTGAGGGACTCCTCGTTGTCACCCTTGCCGAGGTCGTCGGTGCCGCCGTGGACAACGACGGTACGGCCGATGACGCTCTCGGGGCCGATCAGCTTAACGTGCTTGTCGGTAACGGTACCCTTGGAGTTACCCTGGGCATCGGTCTCGATGTTGCCAAGGTCACCGACGTGGCGGTTCGCGTCCTCGGGGGCGCCGTGAGTCTTGTTGTGGGGGTTGACTGCAGCGTTCCGTGGTTAGCGACCACGTCTAACTTGCTTCTCGCTGACTGAAGGCGTTGCTTCGGATATAACTCTCGAGAGTACTTACAGTGAGGGCCGGCAGAGGTGCAGCCGTTGGTGTTGTCACCGAAAGTGTGGATGTGCATGCCACGCTTGGCGCTGGCGTCGTTACCGGTGATATCCCAGGTAATGGTGGTGGGAGCGGACTCGGACTCCTGCTCGAAGACGACGGAGCCGGTGACCTTGGAGTCACCACGGACGACAGCGACTGGGAGCCAAAGTTAGCCAACTGATTCATCCATCATCTTGACAAAGCATGTGCCCCTTTGCAACCCTTCCTCGAGGAAAGCCATCTCCCCCCCTTTGGCTTTCTCCACGACGGGAACGACGGGAACCATCTGGATTCGAACCAAACGGATCGACAGTGGACAGCGCAAGGAACACGAGGATGGAGTTCGATCGAGCTTGAAGATTGGCCAGCGGTAAGCTGATTCCCAGTCGTAGGCACGTCGCGGAGCCATCAGGGTGTTTGCTTCTCCCACGTCGTTCCAAAACCCGCTCAATCCAGCGCAAATTGGATGGTCGGACTGCGGTTACCCCTCCATCCCCGGCACTGCGGCCCTGCACTAGGCCGACGGGGAAGGTTGGTATCCGTGTATATAAAGAGTGACACTTACCAGCCTTGACCATTTTGAATGACTTTGGTGTTGTTTTGGGTTTGAATTGGTTTTGTTGTTTTGCGGATGTGTTGCTCAAGCAGCGGATGTTGAGGAGAAGAAATGATGAAAGTTTAAGGTGCAAAGAGGGGAAGAAGGGGAAAGTACCTTATGGAGTCTCTGAGACGAGCCAGCCACCCAGCTCAGACGGGGAGAACACTGGGGAAAAGAGAGAGACACACAACACCTCACCTCAATACGGAATACCTCACTGTGAATGGATAGGGGCGGGCACTTACGGCCGGCTTGCACGAACTCTGTGGACGCCCAATGAGGGACGAGAAATGTGGTATTCCGTAGCCAGGAAAATGCACAATTCGGAATTCCGAGGGACAGAAGCTCGCCTCGCCTCGCCTTGTCTTCCCTCAGAGAACCGCTGGATCGCAGCAGCACGGCAAGGTTGCTCGTCTTCTCGCCCGCTGGCATTTCCCCTAAAGTCCGGCCAGTCACCCAGTCTACCCCTCCTCTCCGACTCTGACAGGTATTATGCCGTGGTCCAAGTCCCGATGAATGGACAGCCGCATACGCTATCACGCCCAGCTTGCGCTTGGATGGTGGGGGAAGCTGCTGCCCCGCTCCCACAATATCTCATTGCCGTCATCTTGGTCCAAGTGGGTTCGGGTTGAGCTTCATGAGCATCTGGTTGGCTAATGGTCTGGCAGTTCTCCGGGATGCTTACAAATGAATGGATGGTGCAATACGATGGTGAACGGGAAGGTACTGCGACTACGGGCATTCAACAAAGGAAGTCGCTACCTTGCCGTACCTTACCTTGCCTTGGATAGCTCAGGTGCCGTATTCTTGGTCCTGCCAGTTCGGTCTTTGGACATGCCTTCGAAAAGAGAGCCGGTGCTCGGCCTGCCATGCCCTGAGCATGGCGCGCGCGAGTGCCACAGTTGACAACTTGATAATCCAACAGAAGCCGATCCAACTGTGGCTTGAACAGCGGCGAACTCGGCGAATGGCTGCTGCAGAGTCAGCGGCGCCGTCAGCAACACGGCGGCGCACCTTACTTTATTGTCCGAAAGTTACGGGAGTGGCTCGCAGAAAAACCAAAGGCCACGGAGCCAGCCTCTTCACTCGGTACCGACTTGCAACTCGCAGGGTATAAGCCACAGTACAGCTTCTGGATGATGATACGGGAGGCAGCCAGGTGCATTCAAAGACTGGTCTGTGTTGATAGCCGACCCGGCACCGTGCGACTATAGTCAGATTTGGTCGATAGAGTTTGGGTGCCATCGAGAGCTTCAGCCATTATCCATTATGCGCCATACGTTATCATCAACGCTAGCGTGGAGCTCTGGCCATATGGCTGGCGGGGTCGTTTCGAGGCCTCTCTTGCGGACAACTTCTTTGACATCATGACTGCACTGCAGAGATCATGAACATGTCAAATTTGAAACATCCAAATCTGACAGACCTGAATGATGATCAGTCAAAGTCTGCGCTTCGATTATTCTGGCGCGCAGGAGAGACGGTTGCGAGCGCTCATTGAATCGTCGGGTGAGTCCATAGAGGTCGATATCAACTACCATCATCCCTGGAACCTGTGGTCAACCTCGGCACATAGCTGGAGGTTGACTATCAAGTCCCTATCATCACGCAAGTCGACATCCGCTTGGCCAGCACCGGCTTGTTCGGAACTAGCTGCAGTCGTGTATGTCGAGCAATGAAGACGGAGTTCCATAGAAGGACAATAGCGAGCAGCTGGAACAGACTTGAAGCATCAGGGGTGCCCGCCATGCCTCCTGCATGAGTCTGAACCATTCGACCAGTCAAGAAAGGCAGTTTGATGGCTAGGGAATGTAATGTTGACGGCTGCGGAGACCAATCCCGTGGCGCCCTGCCCTCCAGATGCAGTCAGCCCTACGGACCAGAGCTTACACAGTCCGGTCGCTTCTTGTGTTAGTTGGTCGAGTAATACCGGCTGTACAGTCTTTCCTCGCCATACTGTAATACAGAATAGCTGGTGCGCGTAAACGCAAGATGCCGAGAGAGATAATGCTCCATATGGCATCTCGTTTCCGAATGTGATGGGGCTACCAACTGAATGAGATAATACAGGAGATAGGCGGGCCAAGTATACGCGACGCGCGGGTTAGCAGCCACGGCAGCGATCCCGGTGGGACACGTGGTATGTATTACTTGACATTCTCCTTGCCATGCTTGCAGAGGTATGGTGTTCACTGTTAGGTACGTAGGAATTCCAGATTTTAGTCTGTGGTCGGTGCCAGTGGAGGAGAATCGCAACCGACCGAAATTCGGATTTCCAAATGGTCCATTCCACGGCCGAAATGTCTTCAGCGAGTGCGTCTCTGAGTGACTGGGAACAGAAAAGTTAATCGAGAGACGAGACGTTGGAAAAGCATGCGGATAAGTCGGGCATGGTCATTATGTTTCCTTTTTTTCGTTTCCAAAACGACGATTGATGAAGCTGGACCTCCCGCGGGCCGCGCAACACATTCCCCCTGTCGGACGTTGTGGGAGAATATACGAGAATGGGGTTCGCTAGCAGATTAATATCCACCCGGCAGGGACCCCGAATTGTAGGAATTTTCCGTGCGGCCAGGTTTTGGACAGGGTCATCCAACCGTCGTGCAGCCCAAGTGCGCGGTTAGTCGAAATACGAGACTGGAAGAAGGAGGTGGTAAATCGGGGGAAGCCGACGTGATGTGTTGCTGCTGGGATCATATGAGTACCTATAAGAGACTTGAGTGATCATTTGCTGAAGTCTTGTGCCCTCATTATTTCGTACTCATCGTCTGTCTGTCAGGTTGTCAGCAGTGAGCACAGCAGCAAACACCAAAAGAATGCGAAACCACCTAAGCGGGTGAGAATGTAGTGGTGAGGTGGTGAGGTGGTGAGGTGGTATTCTTCGGTGGTGAAGAAGGCGTGAATGTCGCAAGGCAGGAAACGAAACAGATCAACGTACGGATAGGCCATTGGCTCGCAGCCCCCGAGTACACTACTGTTCCAACTTGTCCATCCTGTTGGTAGTCTGTACGGGATACGGTCGTCGAGAATCACACGTACTCCGTACTCGAGCCAATTCAGCATTGACTTTGAGACTGGGCCATTGTGTTCATCTGGGACCGGAACGAAGTAAAGTTGATGGGAAGTTAGACTGGGAACATCAGACGGCTACTGAACCCCACGGTCCTCAATGTCTGAGAGTCGCTCACCTCTAATTCTACCTTGCCTTAGGTACACCCGGTCCTGCCGTCTTCTTCAGTGTCCCTTCCTTCCTTCCTTCCTTTTTTCCTTCCCCCTCTATTCTGAGTAGGTACGTAGACACTATGTATTCCAAAAAAAAAAAAAAAAACTTGGGAAAGAGCGATGAATGAAGTGATGAGTGGAAAGAAGTAAGTACGTATCTGGGCTCGTACCTTAATTGGACGTATCAATCAAGTCAGCCCAGCCCAGGCCACCTAGCTACACATGAGCAAAGTACCATCCCACTGCCCACAAGCCCTGAAGGTACTTCATTACACCCAAATGATCCAGTCAAACGTCCTCGCTCATCTTCCCCATCCTGTCCGTCCCAGTTCATTCTGGTGCGGCCAAGCCAAGACTCTCTCGGCCCAGCTTCAATTTCTTCTTCACCTGGGGCCTTTTCACAACACATGACGGCCCGGATTGCTAGGTACCTGGCTTAATTCCTTTTCTGGCCAGTTTGTTCCTGTTGGTGCCTCATATTTTGGACCCAGCGCCGCTCCCATACCTGCACTCACAACTTCTCATCAGGTACCTTACCTTACCTGAACCTGACCTTTACCGAACCTGGTACCCAATTCATCATTAGCGAAAAGAGAGTGAGATGTGCTGTCTCTCTTCTTCTACACACCTCACACCACAAAGCGACCGACACGAAACCATCGCTCCTCGTCGTCTGACTTGGGAAATATAGTCGGCCAGCCCACGGAAATTTCCCACCCGGTCGCCCACCCCGCAAACTCCCACGGGGGGTCAGACATCGAGGGAGAGGGTAAGAGCGCAACACACCGACGAACGCGGAACTACGTGCGACTTGACTTCCTGGTCTACGAGGAGAGGGGCTACGAAAGACGGGAAGAAAGAAACCAAAGACCTCAGGAAGACCAGCACTATCCTAGGAGAGAACCTCAGACACTCACTTTCGGGATTCGCAAGATTACGCTGCCCTGCCTGTACAGAGCACTGCACCACCGCCAGCCGCAGGCCAACCCCGACGATTCTGACCTTGCGACGGGACTCCTGTGACGACTCTCCAGCCCCGTTCTTGTGGCTTGGTTTTCGCTCTCGCCTCCAGGCAGACGCACCGTGTCGCACCGTGTTATTCGTCAGGTTGCTTCACTGCTTCACCTCTTCTCATCACCCGCCCAGCGAACAGACGGAGAGCCCTTCTGACAGCAGCCGACCATTATTTTCACTGGGCACTTGTTGGTCGAGGTCGCACCGCTCTTTTCACCACCTGACGCCCTTTCGACTGTTCAACGCCCCGTTTGCCGCGCGACGGTCGCCTTGAGCCTGCCAGTCCTAGCCCAGATCAGCCCGACAACCTTCTCCAAATTACTGTCGCCGCACATCACTGCCCAGAGGGTAGCCCCAAAGACGTCAGTCCTATTACCAGGCCCGCCTGCGCCGCACAACAGCACCACCCGCGAGGCTCACCCCGCGACCATCCGGACAAACAACTGTACTACTTACCATCATTCACTTCCCATCCCGGCCACATCGCCAAACATACAAAAACACTCTCTCCGGCGCATGTACAGACGAACCCGCGAACAACGAAACCGCACCGTATAACGAGCAACTGTCCGATCGAGCTCGCCGCGAACAGATGCAATCGAGCACAACCCGGCATTCTGCTTAGGTCGACGACGCAGCAGCTTGTCGCAGAGACGGATTTCTACAGCCAGTCACGTCGTCATTGTACTCGTCCTGCGCGATCACCATGTCTTTTCGAGGCGACGGTCAGCGCCGTTATGGCCATATCCCCCCGGTACAATACCCCACACCCGACCAGTCGCAAGATCAGTCGGCTTACCTCGGGCGGCGGCCGAGTTTCAACAACGGCGACGATGCCGCAATGTTCGATCAGGGCCGGGCGCAAGCTCGTGGTCATCAGCAGTCTGCCTCGAGAGGAGGCGAAGACGAACTCTTTTTGACAAGCCCGACAACTTCAAGCCATTCTGGAGGCCGGCACAGCTACGGATCGACAAACAATGCGCTTTCCGGTTACCAACACCAGTACCAAGCTTCCTCGCCTCCAACCTCTTCGCATTCTAGCTACAACCCGCAGGCCTTTGCGCGGACGCCTTCGACGGCCTCGACGTCTCTCCCATACCACCCCGGTCCCCCGAGTCGATACGGATCTGCCGCTTCGCCGACATCATACACAGCTCCAACACAATCTAGCTACCAGCCGGCGGCCTACAACCCGGCTGCATATGCGAGCGCAACAGCCCCCAGCGTCAACCGACATACTCCGGCTATAACAATTACAGTCAAAGCTACGGTTCTCCGACGGCTCCTCAATCCTCTCAGGGGTTCGGCCACTCACCTACCTCCTCATACCAGGGCACTTTCCCCTCCGCGCCATCCGCGACTTCGCCGGCACCGACCTATGACTCGACTTTTTCGCAGTCTTATGGCAACAACTATAACTCCTATCCAACAAATGGTAACAGCTCGGCAGCGTCGTACGCTTCGGACAACTCGCAAACACCCTACCCGATCCAGTCATCGATGCCAATCGGGCCAAACTA